ACCCCTCTGCGACCTTTGCGAGATGCGCCCCATAGAAATTCGTATTCTACACGTTTTTCCGAGTATTTTGATGTACGCATAATATTGCTTCACTTATTTGCACACGGGATCTAATTTTTGTACAATTCAACACTGACTATATTCCGATATTTGACACACTGATACCGTTAGGGGTACCTTGAACTAAAAAAAATGCGCATGATTTTGGGAAAGGGGGGGGGGGTGTATAGATTCCAATTATGAGAGATGCTGTGTTAAGTAGAAATATTAAATTTCTCCACAAAACAGGTAGGTACTAAATTATGGTATGGTGCTTTACAAGAGGAATAATTTTCTCCAATCTTACTCCAGGTAACTATATTCCGACTAGAAGTTAAAAACTGATTGTTTGGTAGAACCTGAATCGGAACCTTCCTGTTGGATTAATAACGATGTTGTGGTACTAAATAACCAATGGAACTTCTGAGAAGCAAATAACTTAAGCAAAATGACTGCTTAGACAACTAACCGAAATCCAATTTATTGAAAAACGACATTCTGTATACGAAAATTAGGCCGAATTCAACGAATACAATACAAAAGCTTTACGTTCAAATAGGGTCCAATTATTGTATTTTGTCCACTTTATGTAGCTGTATATTTGCAGCTTACTTGCACATGCACAATATGCAATTAATTCTACGTGCTAATAGTAATTATTAACACTATGCGCATAAGCAATTAATTTGATTTCTATTCAAAGTTACCCATACGTGGGGGTTGAAAGGTTGCATCAACCGAACGCCCTCCTAATCTTATCCTTACAAATTGGAAACTTTTAATCAGCCTTGACAGTTTTAATTAAACCGATCCATTACTCTTGCGAAAGGATCTGTCGTAATAGAAATATCTAACTTTCCTATGTACTTCTTTTGATGCTCCAATGCCTCCCGAATAAAGTTCTACAATATTGAATGCATCCGTCGGAACTGTCGCGTCTTAATCAAACCACCTGTCTTTAATTGTGCTCTTTGGAAAATAGTTTCTCTTTTGTTCGTGGTCATTTCTCGACTATCCCCTTTAAAGATTGTAAATTTGTGGTAATGGCTAGAAGTCGCGCTAAGCTAATTGCAAGTTAACTATAACAACTGTAACAGAAACATGTACTTATTTTAAAGTTTGGAAAGATTGCTACCATTGTTTTTAGATCGCGTTTGTTTAAAAGAAGCTTCACTATAACTTATAAGGCATAATAATTATTAAATTAATTCAATTTAATCCGCGAAACTGCAAAAGAAATCGATAAATGCTCTTTTGGCATTCCCAACGCTTAAACGCCATAAATTATTTATCCGATTTTGATCAAATTTCAATCATGGTTACTTGGCACACAGATAAATAAGATTCGTTCTATTTTGATCAAATTTGAAATGCACAATTTGTCATTTTTTAGGAGTAACTTAGTTTTTCCAATACAACGCTTTTATTTCACCTTAATTATTTATTGAACGCTTTCCTTTTGCTTTGCTATCAGTTCTCCTCTGATTGCAATAATCGCGCAATCCTTAGCTATCAACTAGGATATTCACTTCACTACAAATCGCAAATTGTTTCTTACCGCATATTTTTCCATGAATATAACAATCTTCGATATTTATGCGTTTCTAATACTTATACTTAATGCAGTTGCCAGTAGGTTGAGGATAATTGTCATATTTTATAAATGCTACCTACATTAGACAGGCTTTTGAAATGGCCCTTAAATGAATCATTAGTTAATGGTCACAGATCAACGAATTACCAACAAAATTGCAATTTTATGTTAACAGCAGATTACAAATAGCGCCATGACCTGAAAACTTCTCATATCCGGCTGAGGATTATGATGTCTTTCAACGCGTTTCATTTCTGCTCGTGAAAAGTAATGTTCTCTGTTAGAATTTATGAGACGATAAGTAATCGTAATCACAACAGCCCATTAGCCACCGAGAAGTACAACAACGTGTAGGGAATTGTCTTTAGAGTTTAGAGAAAGTAGAAAAAGACACGAGAATGTTACTGTTTATGTAATACTATAAAAACCCGAACCTGGTCATTTTATCACAGTAATATCTCACATAGATATAAGAAAGGTAAATTAACCACAAGTTTAGCTTCGCTCTAATCTGCCGAATTTCATTGTAACATAGACCGAGAAAATAAGATTAAGGACACAATTTTCTTTTGGTTTTACAATTGTATATTACACGATTGCTGTCATAAAAATATTACCCAACATTTTCTTTGCTGTAACCTCCGAATATAATATTCAATACAATATTCAAAGGTTTTTGGATATGTATAAATACAATTTTAAGTCGATACAGGGTTCTGGCAATTTTCTTAAATAATAAAGCTCTACTTTCAACCCCCTTAAAGTAGCAGTTACCCCTAATTTTTTAAACTAGAAGTATTGGATTGTAATATATTGTTTGAAAGGTGTCTTCATTCCCTATCCAAAAATGTGATTGTTTTCAATTTTATTGCCAAAAATTAATATATGTGCTGTACTCCTCATATGTACTACATCAGAAACCTTCGTGGACAACTGTTCCCCTTGGCAGAAATAAGTAAAGTAGATTTTTCTGGTTATAGAAATATCGCTGTTTTCAAAAATATGTGGTCGATACAGCCTTTATTCTTTAATTAGCTCCTTAAAGTTGGGCACAAATTACATCCTTTTTAATGGATTATAATATTACATTTCTTCTACTGAACGCGATAAAAAAAACCACAACAGGATCTGCAGCGTTTAGCTGCATAGGACGGTGATTAACGACTCTAAAACCATCTGAGATTGGTAGTAACAAAAGCAATTAACCAATAAACAATTAAATATGGTCGTCGTGATTAACGATTCGCCATTTTATAGGTAGGCGTTGCGGAAATTACCCATTGCACTTAATTACGATTAATTTAAATTCAGTCGTTGAAATTACGCTTTCGGTTATCACTTAACTTATTTGTAATTGGAATTAAGTGTGCTAATTACTCAAGCTGCTAGTAAATTATATCAAACTTAACCCTGCTGTCCTGTTCAGCTTCACTGCACGAACGTACTGTTCGGGTCAATATGACCCGTCAAAGGTTTGGGGGTCGTGGTTATTTAAATAAATTCATCTAATATGTATTAAAGTAAACTCTATTAACAAAAATACATGTTTCATGTAAAAAAAAAAGGTCTTTCATACGTGTACTGAATTCAGTTTTACATTTCGAATTCACTATCGTTGTTCGAATAGTGAGAAGACAAGTTTACGTTATTTAGGTTTAAAAATAAGTGTATTATGCAATTCTTGCTACACTCGGGTCATATTGACCCAAACAATACATAGGTAACAATTCACTTTTTAAAAAATAATAGCGGAAGTAAAATTTTTATATAGCTCGAAAATAAAACCTTGTACACTAACGAACAAAGTCATGCAATACCATAGCGTTACACCGCGCGGTATTCTTTAAAAGAAGAAATGAATTTGTTTTTGGGTCAAATAGACCCGAACAGGACAGCAGGGTTAACTGAGTCTAGATTGCTTCTCTTATAATCGATTTACGTTTTAATTTTGTCATTTCATGAATATACTTGAAAGTGTTTCATTGAAAGTTGTACTGGTTTAGGTTGACTGACAGTAAGGCCAAATAGTGCCTTAAATTTTGGTTCGGCAAGAAGAAGTTCTACACTGAACTACGCCTATTATAATAAAGACGTTATTGAGACCTTTGGGTACTGTAAATCGTAGCTTATTTAACCTCCAATACCGACCCGCGTTCCCGTGGACACTCGGCCTCGAGTACTGTCATTTATCGTTCGCCCGTAGTAGACCGAACACCTGAACCTCGATTCTGTGGTAGAAACCAATGACTTGTAAGAGTTCGAGTCTGTCTTTCGATGCAGCCATTATCAAATAAAAGTGGCATTGCTGTAAGAACTCCGCCATTTGAAGAGAAATATGAGCGCGCATGTCATTGAATGCAAAATGTGTATATCATGAAGTGTATGTGTATGAATCAAAGTTTGACTGCGGTACTAAAGGGTCCCTGGTTCGAATCCGGGTTTGGGCATGAATATTTATAAATGTATGGTGGGTTGGGTTGGTAGAGCATCTTTGACGGAAACCCCGCCCATTTAAAAATAAAAGCCGAAAATAAATTAATAAATAAAATGAACATTCCGACACGCGGTGTAGGAATTTTCGTAGTGGAAGAAGCAGTCTGACTATGAGTAATGAACCAACTCCTTTAAAGGATCATTGCCTCAGTTAAAAATGGTGCAATCAATTATTGATCCAGCCATCAGTGCAAATGGAAAATTGCTAACACTCCACCCACTATAAAATAAAGACAATAAAATAAAAATAAAATAAAAAACCATGATTATGGAATGGTCACACATCCGAAAAGGGGTCGCGCATGCGCTTGAGTTGGTAAAATGATTGCGCACTACTGTTGGAATGGACTATGGCACAACTGTCACTGCTGTCACGTATTGTGCCACATTGCATGATAATGCTCGTCCTCATGTACCAGTGGCGTACCAAACATTGCTACTGTAATTACTCCGAGGTTCTCCAATATCCGTTTTATAGCATTTGTACCCAGATTTGTGCCATTGAGGCCTGCTTTTTTCTCAGCCAGATTTTTTCAGCCTCTTTGCCAACACTTAAACACATTCTTATAGTATACAACGCAAATAAGAGAATGGATCAACCACTGCATTTTAACGTTCAAAACTTGCAACAAGAAAAGTTTATTGCAACCTTAGTTTGGCAATGTACGTATTACATATGTTGTGGCAACTTCAGGGGGTCTCATTTCTCTATTTTGAAATAATGCCGAAGAAGAGAGCGAGTCACCCTGTAGTGAAAAAATGTACGTGCGAAAATATGTACAGAACAATTGATTTCGCACTCATGGATATGTAATTTGCAAGCAGTTCATAATTATTTCGTTTATCCCGATCGTGCAAAAAGATTTTAACTTACCTCTAGGTGAGCGTGTGTCTGGCAAAGTGAGCCAAAGTGGGAAGACAATGGGTGCTAATAATATATACGTTAATCTTTTCCTAGCTTCAGAAGGCCAACTCATATCCATCGCTTCTGGAGTGTCGTCGTCTGTATCTCCAACCTGTAGACACACCACTGCTTGTGAGGTCAGTGACTTACGTGCTCGTACAGATGACATGCGCCGCTAAAATTAGAAAGCATCGATTATCTTTGGGTCAACCCGAAGGGTGCGAAGGATAGGATTCATGGGTCAGTTGTGCATATACATTTAATGGGACGAAACTCGCACACTTGGATACACCATTTACGTAGTGGTAGGTGCGTGTTAGTGGGTACTTTAAAGCAATGGCCATAACGACATTCAGTTGCTGCGGTAATGGTGGTTCTGGTTCTGAATCTGAATCTAAAAGCGGCGACTACTTCCAACGCGTTGCAAGCAGATATCTACTAAGCAAGTTACTGATATGGGATTACTCCAAAGTACTTGTGGTGTGAGAGTAATGCAATGGTATGTATGTCAGTGTACCTAAGACGAAAGGAAAGCCATAATGCAAATATTATTGGATCGGCAATGCGTGCAAGTTTTTGCCATATATGCACAAAAGTCCCATGGAAAGCTTAATCCCAATACAAATGTACTAAAAGTTGAAACACACATAAGCACATCAGGTATTGACCGTTTCTGTTACCGTCCAGACGCAGACACAATGAGGGTGAGTTCGCATATTTGCATAAACGACTTTACAAGCGTGGACGCTACATGAAATATAAATACTACACTTTAGAAGGCAACGATTTCAACGGGGAGGTGATTAAAAGCGATTAAGCTTGACTAATTAAACTACAGCGTTCACTACTTAGATTTACCTTTAAATTGTACGTTTTTGTTGTCAGGATTAAGCCCGTTAGATTAATTACATCGTACATACAAAAAGAAAGACACATTTTTAGAAATATGAATCGTTACAGATGAAGAGTTGAAGCATTCATATTTCTTAAACAGGTAAAAGCGAGGGTAAAAGTAGGGTTTAGAATTAGAGTAAAACAAGGAAAATTCTTCAAACTGAAAACTTGCATTATGCACACGACATACGTAACAGATTAAGTTTGAAAAGGGGGTATTAAAAAATGAATGCTGAACATGTAAAATGGAAACAGAAGTAGTAAAGGAATTTTAATTACAAGAATTTCTAGCAGGATACATATTGTAACATGCCTTCCTTCAATTTGTGGGTTTCTATTGATTTCTGGAGCAAATACGGTAAGCACCCAACACAATGTGATATTAGACATTTACGTTAGTTCATTATTTTGTCGTTATTGCGTTAAACTTACGGATATAGCGTTGAGTATGAAAAATGTGTAAATATGCTTGTCACAGTTTATTTAAATGTCTTTATTGATTTATTTTTCCCAATTTATTTTTGTGTTTATTTGGAATTTATTGTGCGACATGGCGAAAACCCCATTCATATAATTGGTTAATTGCTATGTAGTAGACGTCAACTTCAGGAAACACAAGGTATTCAGTATCAGGCACATTTATCATTTTCATCAACAGGGTTCTTCAATAATCAAAGATACAGATTTTGCATATTCGATAAATTCCGTATCTGAAATTGTGTAACTTCAGTAGTTCCATAGTGTATTTATACTAAGGTAGTTCCGACATATTCTTTAGATCTTATGCTTCTTTGGTTCTGTGCATATTGTAGGTTTTTTTAGATTCTACATATACTGTACAATTCCAAAATTCTGCAGATTATCCACTTTCCATAGGACCTGCAGAGTTCCTAGAGCACTGCAGATTTTTTAGGTGACGCGACTTCTAAAAGTCCTTTACTGTAAATTTCTGTACATTCTGGAAATATTGTAGATTATTTACATTGCGTAGATCCTGTAGATTTCCTCCCGTGGCCAAGGGAGGAAATCAGACGAAGACTCCACTAGTACATTGGAAGATTCATAGAGATCAGGAGCAAATTCAGTTAAATAGTTTTGTAAAGACTTATCTTAAGAAACGAAGACAACTGAACAAGAAGAGAAAAAACAAATTAAAATTGAAGAAATGACATAGAGGAAAAGAAAATTTAAGTAATTTGATTAAAATCTTGAAATTGAATAACATCAAGAAAAGGGACAAAGGAACATATTGTTTTGGGGTAGCCAAAGCTCGAGAATATATCCGTAGAGCACAAGAGTCAACTTGGAAACTAAAGAAGGAAGAATAGCTATTTTAAAGCGAGAACATTCGAAGAATACAGAAGATAAGAGTAAGGAACATAAACTAAAATTAAAAGAAGAAAAGAAGACGAACAGTCTAGAGGAATTAGAATTAGTAGAATACCCGAAGTTGTTGGAAATGGATGAAGAAACTGACGAAGTGGAAGAATCCGCAAGAAGTTAATAAGAAAAATAGAAGTAACCAAGGAGAAAAGAATTATATTACAGTAGATAACCGAGGACAATTAGAGAGAAAAATAACCAAATTATTACTATACGAAAAGTTGGAATTATTTATGAAGACAAACTAAAGAGGAATTGGAAGAGTCAAGAGAGAGCAATGTAATTTAAAGGTACGAACGATAATGCAAGCCAAGATGACGAAGTTGAAAGAAGAGAAAAAAAAAAAGAAATATATAACCTGTCCAGTTTCAATGCAAGTGAAATTAAATGAAGTCAAATCAAGAAGTGAAGTGAAAAGTGAATAGTTTATTTTACATATCACTGTTTGTTTTATGTATAGAAGTCAAGTTGAGTGCAGTTCTGAAACGAAGATAAGTTTAGTGGAGTTCATCACTTTTGTCAGTAGATTTTTATTTGAGTAAGGTCAGTTAACTCAGGCCAAAGCTCCCATTGGTTTTTGTTGTATTTCAAAACTCATCAAGTTTTCTTAGTTTCAAAAACAGGAGATATTGCAAGAGGTGGTCGCCTTAGCGTTAAAAAGATTTGGTTTCGAATCTATAAATTTACCTGTATACGTGTATCGCTCGAAAAAACTGAAATGCGAGCGAATGACGCGCTTTCAGATAAGCAGCGAGTGTGCAAGCAGGTAAGATTCAAAACGCCACAATGTTGCCGGTTCTAAAGACCGCTTTTATGGAGCGTGAGGGACGGACTTTCTGCTAGCTTGCTTTGCGTCGGGGTTATTTCGGTATTCGCCCTCGGCGCCTATATTATTAAAAATTGGCTGGGGGAGAAGGATTCTTAGCTAAAGCTTCAAAGCGAATTGTCGTTCGCGACATTTTAGATCGCGTTACAATTGGTTTTCAAATGAAAGTTTTAAGACGAATTCGTATAGGTAATCAAGGTATATGAAAAATTTAACAGCCGCGCTTAAATAAATTTGACCAAAAAAGCATTGGGGTCAAGGGTACAGAACATTTCATTCCGTTTGTACTAAACTAGAAGTGATTATTCACAAAATTTGTGCGTCTCACAGGAAGATAATAAGATTCCGGATTAAACGGGAACCGGTAAAAAGTTTAGAGACGATTAATTAGTGCTTTTACTAGCCGTTAAAAGCCTAACTGTACAAAGGGAAAAATTTACAGTTCCATGCTGTGGAATATTAATAAATTATTCCAGCGAGTAAACAAAATTTTGAGAATCCTGTCAATCATCGTTAAAAAATTCACATTGAACGAACAGTCAAATTTATGAGGCGATACACGACGATACAATTGCATTGTACCAAGCATTCCACAATTTTTCAAATTAACTGCTACCTTTCAAAAGAAGAAGAATGTTGATTGTAATCTGGAAAGAACTTCGAATCAACGATAAAGTTATTTGAAATTTTTGCATTAGCGTTTTACTTAACATTCTTGAAGAGGTCGACCAGCGGAAATTTATTCCATGTACAAATTCGTATGATAGGCGAACCCCAACAAAAGATTTTCGTGGTCCTTTTCTTATTAACTGTGAAGTTACTTTTCTCAGGTACCGTAAGTCGCAGTTGGCTGCATGTTCTATCCCTCCCCCGTCGAACGTAGAAAATGTCTATTAAAATGGAAGAAAAATAAGGGCACTCAGAAGGAGGTCATGTTTTTTTCACATTCCTGGACTCTAAGGACCCTAAGGAACAGTCAGATGATGCATTTGTAGCCTATTGACCAAATATGTGCGAGTCTCAGAAAATTCCATTCACGTCCAAGTTCAAGAGAAAATTAACAAAAACCTGTTTTGTTACTAAACCCGCCACGTAGAATCCAAAAATGAGGGCGGTTTTGAACTGCGGGATCGTTTTTGTCGCTTAAAGGTCGAAAAATATCTAAAAATCCGACGTGGCTCCATTAAACATTTCGCAGCTCCCTTATTTGTGGAGATATCGACTTGCAGTTTTTTTGTGTTGGACAGAAGAAGGATGAGAGCGTGTGCTGTAAAGACTTTTACCACGTGGCGGTTCCCGAACAGCTCTACCGCAAAGTTCAAGGTGCTTTCCTTAGGAATCGTAAGTCGTCGATGGCTGATATCTGTAGTACATGCCCTCATCCCTCTTCTGTTGAACGCAAAAAAAGTCGATATCCCAAAAACTGAAGAAATAATGGCGTTCGGAAGGGGACCGTGTCATTTTTTCCTTTTTTTTTTGAGTTCTAAGGACCCCAATGAAGGGCCGAGGACGAATCTGAGCCAATTTTAGATTTTACGCATACGATTTACTATATAGGATGTAATTTTTAATGCGATTATTATATTTGAATTTGTGTGTCAGGGTTGTTCTGCTGTTTTTGTTTTGAAAACCTTGTACGATCAGACTATTTGAATTATTCGAGAACAAAACTGTAAGTAATTTAAGATTTTTTCAATTTGTAATTATCGACCGCCTGCGTGCGGGGTATTATGTTCAAACTTTTTCAAGCTTTCCTTTCTTGCAGAGACATGCTCAGCTCATTCTTTAGATTCCTTAAGTTCTGCAGATTCCGTAGGCAACAGACTATGTCTATCATGTAAATTCTGTAGGTCTGGTACACGTTACGTTTTCAAAGGTTTTACGTAATTGCATCTACCCTCCTTAAATCATCTTTATCACAAATTTGAATTCCTTCTGTATGAGATTAAACGTAATGATTAGTTGTGACGTTTATAATTACACATTCTTCATATTTATTGCAATCTAGTATAATGATATCCAACACAGTGTATACTAGGTATACAATTTTTATTCTTAAAATGTGCTAACGA